GGTTGCGCGGGCACCGGACAAATCGCACTCTCGCCTGCATTTCGCGCACTCGACACGCACGATCTCCGCAGAGGGTTGCGCGCGCATGGGACAAATCGCACTCTCGCCTGCATTTCGCACACTCGACACGCACGATCTCCGCAGAGGGTTGCGCGTCAAGTCTCCAAAATGAGCGTTTCGCACGAGACTTCCTCAAAAACTCACACGTCAAAGTCTGCAAAACGAGCGTTTCGTACGAGACTTCCTCCAAAACTCAACACCCATCGGAGCACACACATCACGCAGCCCTGCCAAGCAGTTTCGCGATTCCAGCCCCTCCAAACAACATCCGCTCACACGCCAATCCCAATGTCACAGCGACATTCACCTCTACCACACGCGCACAGAGTCCTGTGCCTGCCACGAAAAGTCACTTCCGTCACACCTGCCAACCTCAGGATTCCCTGCGCCTGCCACGCGATTCGCACTTCCACGCCTCAAAACCCGCACAAAGTCCTGCGCCTGCCACGAAAAGTGACAATATCATCTCACGTGAGCTTCAACAAAATTTGCACCACACCACACGTTTGGAATGATTTCGACCCGCTCTGAGCACACTCCCATCCACCAAAATCGCCATTTCAGCTGACACGTGTCACGAAAACCGAGCTTCGATGCCACACCCTGAAACGCAAATCCCAATGGCAAGGCCACATCCAACACCCCAAAAACACGACTCTCCAAACGCTAATCCCAATGGAACTGCGCAGCAATCTGCAGATCTCACAAAACGCTGCGCCTGTCATGCAAATCACAATGGAATAGCGGCGCAAACTGACACCTAACACATCCATGCAAAGTCACTTGCAAAAGCTTCCCCCAATGGCAGCGAATTTGAGACGCGACGGCGACGACAGACGACGACAGACGACGAGACGACGCAAGCCATGCAAACACAGCTCCACCCCCCAGACCCCCAACTATAAACGGGAACCCTTCGCTACGCATTCGGGAAAAACTGAAGCTGTGTCCATCTCTTCAAATCCAACCAAAAAAAGCATTTTCAACACCCATTCCATTTCACCTGGTTGATTCTCCGAGGCTCCCATAGTCCATGGAACAGATTGATCACACACTTAGATCCATGCTCGCAAGAGCTCTATCAGTTTGATTCAGTTTGGACATCCCCGAGAGCTAGTTACTGAATACGTAGCACTTGACTTGAATCAACGGCAGGAAGTGCTGGGTCGGTCAAACAGAAGGTTGCAACAAAACGCATTAGCACTTTAGAATGGATTCTGCAGGTACAGGAAACTGGCCAAGTCTCCCTTCCCACTCTTATCCAAAGCTTCGTTGCGTGTGATAGGATTAGAGTGTCCCACGCCCCGGCATACTGTACATTTAATTGCACACACAAAAAGCCGAAACCGGCGCACACTGGGGGAAAGTTGGCGGGCACTCGACTGAAAATCTGGTTACAAACCTAAAATCTTCTAGAACGAAGAAGAGCCAAGAAAGAGAAGCGACAGCAGGAAGGAAAGAAAGCAGGGTGGGTGGGTGGGTGGGTGGGGGTGTGCAATGACTAAACGAGCCTAAGAGCCGGCCGACCTAACAAGCCTGAAGAAAAGACCAAGCAAACGAAAAAGGCAAGGAAAGAAAGGGGGAGCGGGGGTGTTTGTGGGGTGGGGTGAAAGGCACTGGCCCGAATGCACGGGCCAAGAAGCCGAAGCCGGCGCTCCCTTGGCTAAAAGGCTTCCATTACACCTAAAAAGCGTTTAGAAAGGAAGAAATACTTAGAAAACGAAGAGAACCGAAGGAAAGAAAGAAATTTGAAAACTTAGCAGTATGACCTAAGTCTGTACAAAGTGATTGCGCTAGCAGCATGTCATGACATTCTCTAAAATGTCCTCAGTGAGCTCTGCAGCCGGTGATCAGCAATCTCGAGCAGAACGACAAGCCGGTAAGAATCGTGCAAGAAGGCAAGCCGGTGACTGATCCCCCTGGAGGGTCTATGCTCAACGCGCCCCCTAGGGATCACACAGCAGACCTCTGTGCGACCCTGTTGCGGCACACACTTAGATCCATGCTCGCAAGAGCTCTATCAGTTTGATTCAGTTTGGACATCCCCGAGAGCTAGTTACTCAATAGGTAGCACTTGACTTGAATCAACGGCAGGAAGTGCTGGGTCGGTCAAACAGAAGGTTGCAACAAAACGCATTAGCACTTTAGAATGGATTCTGCAGGTATAGGAAACTGGCCCAGTTTCCCTTCCCACTCTTATCCACAGCTTCGTTGCGTGTGATAGGATTAGAGTGTCACACGCCCCTGCATACTGTACATTTAAAACTCCTTGGAGACAGGAGGTGGCACACAAACACACACATTCATCATTCCACACTTACCAAGAGGCATCCGGTTCCAAACTGCAACTACGGCTGGACATTCTCAGTTAATTGTATGCACGCACGCGCGTGCGCACCGCGTCTACCCTTTGCATTTCTGTAGTATGTTCTAGTTGAAATTCAGCTACGCAGCCTCTGCTTCTACAACTCTTCTTGCCCTTCTTACCTATCTTGACAGAGATGAGCTCGCGCGCGCGAGCCTATCCTTAATGTTCACATTGTTCTTTTACCAACCCTTACGGTGGAGAGCGGTTAAATTATAGTTTGACTAGGGGTCCACGTGTGGACGTTTTGTGTTTGAACGTGACATTCGTGGTTTTAGATGTTTCTAGTTGTGTCATGTTATGTTCTACGCGTGCGCCTACACTTTTATGTTATTATCATTTCAAAGTTAATCGTTTCAGTTTTTAATTTATATGATTTTTAATAGGGGCTGGATATGAACATAAATAGAAACATGTTTGGTTTGCCGCAATGTGTTTGAAGGATATGAGTGCGAAATGCAAAGGGGCATCTCGTAAAACGCCAAGTCCTGATCCATAGAATGGTGAAACGATGAACGTTGAATGTGTTTGAATGTTGTGGATCTGTTAGTGTGGAAAATCCCGGTCAGTAGACAATGGTCCCTGTACAAACCAGATTTAGCGACTTGCCGAATGGACCTTGGCGGGACAAGCGCTAACTCCTGAACAAACGGGAAGGACTGATGAAGCCTTTCAGTCAAGATGTTCGTCCCGACCCCGCGAAAAGTAAATAGTTGAATACAGGCACTGAAGGATGACAATTGAAAAGCGAACAATGTACCAAGTAGAGGTAGGTTTCTGCCGTATTCAACCAGATCTATTCATGTTCCTAAATTGAATTGGATATAATAATAATTGAATAAAGTTTTCAATTGCAGATTTATGGAAGAACATTCCAGTGGTCATAGCAGATTGGCAGGTTTTGTATCACTGCTTCTTCTGTCCATTTTGGGGTCCAAGCCACAAAGGTCAAGAGCCAAGATGAGGCTGCCTCATCGTTCAATCGAGCAGTTTTTGGCTCCGTGCCGAAAGGCTCTCCCAGCTACAAGGCATTAGAGGCTTGGTCTTGGGGCATCCCACGAACATGATACGAGTTGGAAACAAGGCACAACCTTTTGTTGCTGAACCAACAGTTTCTTCTTTTGCTTGAGTGACATGTTTGAGGTAGTTGCGGCCAAGCACATGGACACTGTCGCTGTGACTTTCCGTGAAAGCTTAGAGAACAAAGTGATCTATTTGGATGAAACAAAGGGTGAACCAGTCGCGTATGCTGGACAACTGGATGCAGTGTCATTGGACGAATGGGTCAAGGAGTTGCTCCTGAAGTCTGAGCCTATCCCAGAGGGACACCCAGTTTACCAAGATGGTTCTTTAGTGGTGGTAGGCAAGACCTTTGAAGAAGTCGTCTCGAAGAAAGATCAAGACGTCTTCATGCTGGTCTATGCGCCATGGTGTGGCTTCTCCAGAAAGTTTTTGCCAGTCTGGCAATCCTTCGCCCGAGCTGTTTCGCAAGTGAAGCATTTGGTGGTTGCAAAGATGGATGGCGATCAAAACAGTTCACCTCTACAGGAGGATTTCTCATGGACTTCTTATCCCCACATTTTCTTCGTCAAGGCTTGGACTTTCGTAATGTGCTGCAGTGTGCTGTGTATTTGGGAATGTGCGACTTTCATAGGAAGATTGCCGCAGACCATATGATGCGCTGCATTTTCTATGCTTTTCTAGGAGGATGGCGGCTGTTTGATTTACACGGAGCTTCCTGTATTTACTGCATTCTTATTCCAAGCAAATAATCGAGGCCCAAAGCTTTTGAGCCATGACACCTCTCAAAAGATTGAATTGCATGCTGCGCAAGGCGGGCACAAAGAAGCCCATTGTCTTCCATGGCAACCGGACAGTCTCTCACTTGGTCCAGCGTCTCAGTGGCATTGGATGGCATTGGCATATAATGGGGAAAGGCATGGCTTTGTGTTTCACTGGTTGGAAGCCTGAGGGTCCCAGCCTTTGAATACCAACCACCATGTTTTTAACCGCTGGAATCCGTTCTGACCGTTTGCAGCCGAACCTTAGTACCCCTTTGTACCTGCAGGTTCGCTGAAGAGCATGGATCCAAACCTCTTGACCTGGATCCAAGTATCTCTCTCGACGACATCAACGAACTTTAGCCAGCGGTGACCAAAAAGGGAAGTGACGCACTTCAAGTGCGCGATTGCACATCAACCAATGGTTTTGAGCGAGGCTACAGCATCACAGTGGAAGTGTGGCCTTGAGACGCTGTGGTTCAGTGTCCTAAGATGTCCTAAGGCCTCAAAGACCCCACTGCACAACTTCCTCCAAGTGAAGCAAAGGACGGAACTGCAGCGATGCGCCCAACTCGTGAGGGCTTCTTGGCACGCACGGGAGAGACAGTAGCACCAACTGACAGAGATACCACTACCCTCATGAAGAGGACAAGCACAACCCGCTAGGATGAATCAGTGGTTTGTCCCAAGGAGATGCTGAAGCTCGGCTGGGAGATGACCCCAGCAGCCTGCCTATAAAACCTTTGAATTTTGAGCATGCAAGGTTTCGATTCTATCAATATTGGTCGATTAGTGTTAACTAGTTCATAGAGCCGTTGGAGCACAGCATCATCAAACGCGGCCAGCTATGCAAGGCACGCAATGCTCGCCTTTTGCTGGCACTGGGTAAGGCTAAAGCCGAAGGTAGCCGAGAAGACGGGGTCTCAGAGCAGTCCGTGAGCGGATCGAACTGCTGTCAAGAGACTGGCTCAGCTCATCGTTGAGGTCTGAGGTTTCATGTCAGCTTGTAAAGATTTCCAAAGCTTGTGGCAAGCCTGTACTTGGATGTGCTCGGGGATTTTGTTGGTAACTTGAAAATTCAATTTGCCAAGCCAATCCATGGATACCGTACCCCATTTTGTTTCAGCCTGCATTGCCGAGCGCCACTCTATATAATTGGCTTGTGCCTTTGAACCATTTGCCAGGTGAGCCTTGCACGCTTCAATGCAGCTCTGTTGCAGGTCATGGAAGGCCTGCCGCTGTCAGCTGCATAGATTTTCTCAGAATGGCTCGATTTGAGGTTCGCCTCAAGTTATCTTCATTCTGGATGCATCCGGAGCGAAGCTCGCCCAAGACATTCCTTCTTTGAACCGGTGCGGTGCCAAGCTCTCACCACGCATGTCCAATGATCAACTCTAAGGACTGATCAGTGTGAAGATGAGCTCCGAAGTGCTGCTGAGAGTTTGGCGGCCTGCATCAGCCGAAACACCACTGGCAAGGGCCCAATAGAGAGCTGACGTCACTTCTGCTACTTTTGCTTCAGCTGAGGTGCCTCCTGGTCCGCCATGGCCTGGGAAAACTCTGGACACGCTATGACACGCTGTCAAAAGGCCCTGCTGTTTTCCAGTGACAGCTGCTGAGGTCATTGCATACAGCCCGGTCCGAGTGGTACAGGACAAACATGAACAAAGCGTGACAAAACAGACATGCTGCATGCGTTTATTAGATTAAGTTCTTGAAGCAGAACCGCGAGGGCACCAGACCAGAGACAGAGAATGACACAACCGGGCAAGGGGGTTCATGTAGGAGATGACCACGGAGCTTCCTTCGCTGCGTGCCTCCTTGGCCAAATGCAAAGGGGGCAAGGCCCAGACGGCCCAGACGGCAATGGCATTTCGCGAAGCCAAGAAGCCTCTTGTTGTGCAGCAAGAAGTGAAGATTGAATGAGAAAAACATCCAAAGTCTAAAGTATTCTAAAGTCCTTCTCCTGAGTCATGCTCTTAAGTCGGCTTTGCCTCTGTTTTAGCTTGTCGGTCGGTCGGTGTATATATAGTATATGTTTGAGGTTGATGAAGTCGGACCACCAGCTCAAGGCCTGGAAGAAGAAGACTGTTCGAAGTGAGTCTCAGTGCATCCTTGCCACATCGAATCTTCAGATGCGCAGCGAGCGCCGCAGGGCGATCGGGATGCGCCACTGGTTTTTCACTTTGCCTTGGCACCTGACCACTCCAAGGTGGGACATGTCACGTCGGGACCGTTGGTTCGACAGTTGTGTGGTAGTGGCCTGTCAGGATACCCAAAAAGCGCTCAAAGTCTTGGATGCCTTACAAGTGACTGTGCTGGGTTTGGGTGTGGGCAGTGTGAAGGCGCATTTGAAGCTGATTGTGCATTTAGAGGCACAAATGCATGCTGTGCGAGGTCTTGAATGATATATCACAACCACGTTGCTCAGTGCGCTTTTGCTCAAGATTGTGTTCAAGGTATGTCAGGGTACAGCAGTGGTACGTGACAGATTTGCTGGCTTTGGCCAATGGTGCTTGCTTCAGACCGGTTGGGGCCAGCAGTTCTGCCCTTGTGCTTGGCAGCTGCCGCGGCTGGCTGGCTGGCGGCTGTTCTCACACGGAGGAAGGCAAGCCGTTCTACTGCCCTGAACTTGCCGGCACGCCCAGCAACCACGCAGAATGGGGGTCCTCAATCGCCGGGAGGATCAACCACAAGCTCAGCTGCCAAGCTGCGGGCGTTGTTGGCTGAGAGACGAGACATTATTGTGATGCCATGCTGCTATGATGGACTTACAGCACGACTTATAGAACGGGCTGGTTTTCAGCTAACCTTCATGACTGGATTTGGTGTGAGTGCAGCACACGGATTTGCAGACTGCCAACTCGTTTCTTACCAGGAGATGCTGGATGCTGCTTTCCGAATTTGCGGAAGCTGGGCGTATGTCAGTACATTCAAATATAGTCATAAGTCTTGTCACGAAAGCTAGCTTCAGCTAGCGGGACTTACTCTTGCTTTAGCAAGTCATTGGCTGGGGGATGGAATCAGCTACCAGTGAATTATCGACGGGTTCAACTCCCCTTCGACGTGTCAGATTTGGGGGCATAATGGTAGTTCTGATAGCATCCGTTTTGGGACCATTATGTTTCACATCGCGCATCGACACCTCTTTTTCCATCCGTTTAAGGCCAGTTCTAGCTTTCATCACCAAGCCCCGGCCTCAAGTAGCCTTTTGTTCACATCTAGAGTGCATGAACTTTCTCAACTAGTTTTTGTGCTGTATACTGATCGGGGGCAATTCGCTCCATCCCAGTTCTGAAGATTGACCACAGCCCTTGCCGGTATAAGGCTCTTTGGAGCAGATTTGTTGCATCGGTGACGGCGACACTGGATATGGCAACGCTGTAAATGTGAAACGCACAGTGCGTGGTTATGCCCAGGCAGGGATGGCAGGCATCATGATTGAAGATCAGGTTGCGCCCAAACGCTGTGGCCACACAAAAGGTACCACTGTCGTGCCGCGAGCTGAAGCTATCGCACGTGTCCGCGCAGCCTGCGACGCCCGCGACGAAGGGCGGGATATTTGCATCATGGCCAGGACAGATGCCAGAGCCACTTTGGGCCTTGACGAGGCTATTGCGCGTTGCCAAGCTTTTGTCGAAGCCGGAGCTGACATTACATTCTTGGAAGCACCGCGAAGTGAGCACGAGATGGAGAGGTACTGTCAGGAGGCACTCAGAGCCTCAGAGCAGAGTCGAAGAAAAGCAGTTTGGTAAAACCAAGATTTCAAAGAAGCTGTGGTCATTTGGGGTCACGTTGTCAGAATTTGCTTACTTCTTGTTCCTTCCTAGAACAGCCCTTGACCTTTGCAGGTGGCAGGGTATAAGATGGTAAACATGCTGCCCAGTGGCAAGACTCCTTTCCTGAGCCACCAAAGATTGCACGAGCTGGGCTTTGCGATCGCTGCCTATCCATTGACCTTGTTGTCAGCAGGCTTGAAGGCTCAAGAAGCAGCACTGAAAAGTCTACGTCAAGCTGGTTTTGTGGATCCAGGAACCTTTGAAAAATCCAGAGAGAGAGAGAGAGAGAGAGCGAGAGCCAGAGCGAGTAGATAGTTTTTGATTCTAGCATTGCAGAGTCCTTTCTGGGCAAGACGTGTGCATTTCCAGAGTGGTTCACATGGGCCTTTTAATTTTAAGTCCAGCTATTGTTTCCGGAGTCATGTTCACTGTGGTGTTTCTTAGAAGCTGGACAGGCAGCACATTTTGTCACAAAGCTTTGCTCAATAAGGAATGGAGTTGGAGTTTGACACCCTGAAAGACATTGTTGGATTCAGCAAGTACTATGCGGAAGAAGAGCGCTACAGAACATCTTGACCCAATGGGAATCATACTGCATGCTGCACTGCAATGAGACGGTGCGCGTGCCTCAAAGTCGACACCGGCGACGGTGAGTGCATGCCCTGAAACTGGCCACATTGCCCCAGAAGTGTGGCAGAACGAACAGACAAAGGAGAGCCATCTGACAGAGTTGAACCATGTGACCGACCGTTAAGCATTCCAACACTCCCCGCTTCGGCACAGGTTGACAGCTTGATGAAAATAAGCAGTGCTGGCCTGACCTTCAAGGCTGGGCCTGGAGTGCTGAGTTAGACTAGACATCCGAACTGGAGACCTCCTTTGGAATTCAGGTGGAGGCAGATGAACTGGAAAGCTTCGTAGAGGACGGCATTTCAGATGTTTGGGGGTGGTTGAAGGCACTTGCGGTAGTACAAAGTGTCGTGCGCATGGTGTTGTGATGCCACTTGAACGAAGATGATAAAGCAACCAGAAACTGATTGGGAGATGAATTGAATATATAGTATTATACAATAGTATGTAACATATCAGGAGATGAATACATAATAGAACATAGATAGAGATAGATAGATTGATAGATTAGATGCCTCTCATTTGCACAGTTTGGTGTTTCTGTTTTATTATGTTGTTGTGATCGATCATTGGAATAGTGGGCGGTGAGCGGGTGTGCTAGCATTGCAGGATGCGTGTGAGGAAGTTGAGAACATTCTGAAGGCAAGCGCTGCATTTTGAAGCGCACGTGTAAAACTCGGCTTGAAACTTATCCCACCAGAAGACAGAAGACATAGACAGCATAGACACAATAACTATCACAAGTAAATATGTTGTCATGAGAGGCCTCAAGAACACAGGATCCAGAACAGATCCTGAGGCTTTTGGACAGCCTGAAGCTCGGTTTCGAACGATGTGATACAAAAAGGGCACATCAAGACTCTGAAAATGGAGTTGATGATCTCGAGGTGGCTGATGCCGTTTGCATTAGTGTCACCGGGGTTGCAAAGACTTCCATGTACTTTACAAGCGGCTAAGAGTCGCAAATGTGCATAGACGGCATGGGTAGTCGCAATTGTGATAAGCTTGCGCCACTTTGATTGTTCATACGCTCGGCAGATGTTTCTGCAGTGTGCATTCTAAGCGTGGCTTCAGTCAATGAGTTTTTCGAACAGCTGGTTGGTGGTTGAACACTTGGGACACACTGGTGAGAGAGAAGCTCTGGAGTTTCACAAATATGAATGGGTATTAATGATGCCTCAAAAGGAGATGATGCAGTGGCTTTGTCAATTGCGCAGAGCCACCAGACTTCCGTCGGACAAAAGAGCCCCACTCTCAGTTTCGGACGACGGTGTAAATATGACTGACACGCTTCAACCGTGTAAGGGGTTGCCCCCCAGATTCCGATACCATGGCACATGACTGGCAGGCCTCATCCAACAGGCAGCCAGAGCGAAACACTGATCTCAGCAGTGCTGAAATTCAAGGAAGCTCCAAAGACATTATATAGATTTCCTTGACATGCCTGCGCATGGCCAAGGACATTGTGGAGACTAGGAGGTCATCGCACCCATCGCACAGAAAGGAACGACAGGGTCATACAAGGAGCAAAGTTGTTGGCGCACAACTCAACTAAAGTGGATAGCCAAAGAAGCCGGGCACAATGCAGGCGCTAGGTCTAGACAAGTGATAGACACATGAGATGTTAAAGCCACTCAAACAGCTGAAGAGCCACAGCCTCTGATATTTACTCCTTGCTATGACGTCATCGTCCAGCTCAGACAGCTCCGACGAGGAGGCGAGTTTCCCTCAGCTGTGGCGTGAGTATGCATCGACAATTGCACTGCGTTTGGGAGGAAAAGAAGAAGGAGGCTCGACACTCTTGGCACAACAGTTGCACGTTGGCTACCATCGCTAACTTACGAGAATCACGGACGCAGATGTGACAGAGTCAGCGTGAGAGGACGGATCCGGCTCAGACTCAGATTCGGACGACACTTCCGAGTCCAGCTACTAGTCCACTTATTCCATTGATGTTTCCTCAATATGTCCTCAAAAGAGCACGTCATCAGGACAGGGGGTCTATTCAAAATACGTGTGATATAGCCAAGGTTCCGACAAGAAGAAGAAAAAGAAAGCAAAGAAAGAAAAGAAGAAGACTTTTGGCGACAATTGTGCAAAGATCTTGCTGTTACGCATTTTTGTGAAAGAAATTCAAGTGATCCTAAGGAAGAAGAAAGATAAAAAGTACAAAAAGGCAAAAAAGAAGAAGGGTGACAAGAAGGCCAAGAAAAAGAAGGTCGGACTCAAAGCAAACTAAAGATCGGAATTATTTGCTCGCTCCAGAGTCATGCGACAGGCTAGGTTTAAAGTTAAAGTATACAATGATTTATGGTCTACCAACAGCAGGCCTGACAGCTGATTCAACTCAGCCGATTGAGAACACATGGCATTTCTAATCGACAATGTTTGTTGCGGACGTTGGTTTCTGTGGCTATTGCAGATTCAATGTGTGAATGAACATGTGTGAAGGACAAAAAGAAGAAAAAAAAGAAGGGAGATGACACTACAGAAGCCATGCGTGGATCAGTGTCGAACCAGTTCGGCAAGTATGGTGCCGCTGGCATGTTTCTTGCAGCAAGACTTTCAAGGAGTGATTAATGAGAGAATCTGAGGCATCATAAAAGCAGAGGACTTCTTCAACAAGAAAGCCGAGTTTATGCTGTGGGCGCAAGAGGTCCGGAAGGTCAATACAGACATCCTTGGACAGCAGCTACACCTGCAGCATGAGCCAAGTTCATGCACAGAGACTTCCAATTTTTAAGGCATCAGGGGCCAGGGCTGTATGGTACACGACACGATGTGGTAAAGCTAGTCCAGAACTTGCCCCCAAGGATGCAGTTGAAGGATTTGTTCAAGGCCTGCTGGCCAATTCAATTGGAACACGATGGCACAGCATGCTGTGAAACGGTGAAGTTCACGTTGAAATCCCAATGTTACAGTACGTGCACTGATAGGTTTGGAATGTTTGTATGCGAAGGAATACGTGGAGGACTACAACACCGCCACGATGCCTTCAAAAAAGCCTCTTGGGTAGAATGGATATTGTTCCTGTCAGCCCTGCAGTGGGACACTGTTCGGCTGGGTTTGACTGCTACCAACTACTTGATGCCACCTGATGTTGCATGAGTTTGAGCCCACTGTGTGGTCAGTCGGTCTATGCCAATGATTTGGCTCAGGTACTACAACATACGAGTGTTTGAGCAGCAGGTGGCCAACAAGCGGCCACTTGCTTGAAATGCTGTTGTTGGTCTCAAGGCAGAAGTCCCTTGCTACTCGAGACTCAAGGCACAAGTCATTTCATGCTAAGTGAGTCTTGTGTTTTCGGTTTAGAGTCGGATCCACTTTTTTGAACAAGGAGAAAGAAGAAAGCCGAGAGTGTCATTGATACAGTTGCTTGACTGCAACAAGCTGTGAGGCCTCGCAGCGGGGTAAAGTCAACTGAATCATGTTGAATCTAGTGCAAGCGAGGCTCTTCAAAGCTCTTTGGCCTCATTTGACGATGAGAAGGTGGCTGGCTCGGCTTGAAGTGGCATGTGCCCAAGGGTCCTCAATTGTCATTCATTCAGTGAGGGTTTTATGATGTGTTATGGCTTTAAGACTTCAGGCGAGACGAGATGAAGTGTTGGCGCTGCGTGCGAAGAAGCAGGAGAGCCAGATCTCCAGCGAGGTGCACCTTGGAAGGTTGATACACAATGTTTCTTGAAGCCTAGTCAAGTTGTTTCGTTTGAACATTGGTTGAAATTGGCAAGGGAAATGTTCTTTGCCCATGTCCGCTCATGAGGTGCAGAGGCTCCGCATGAACAAGGACAAAGCAGAAGAGATGAAGCACCAGGCACGTGTTCCACAGCTGCGGCGCAAACACACAGTATGGATTGTTTTTGTGTTTTAAGCATCGCTCAATTCCTCCGAGCGCTCTTTCAAAGGACTAATTGAAAAGAACCAAGTGCAGATACCAGCAACCACCCAAATGCATCCAAATGCGTCACGCTGTAGGGGTGGGTCAGATTTGGAGAGGCCTGGTTGATACCTGACAATGAGCAAAGCAGCAAAATGCTTTAACTATCTTACAATGGTTGGGAGGACTCGATTTTGCACCAACATTTGCAGTTTGGCGAGTTCAGTTTAGAGTCCACCCGGCAAGTTGGCCTGGATAGCCGAGGGGAGCCGACCCAAGATATAGCCAAGAGCACGCTCAGTTGAGTCAACAACCCCTTACTGTTCTTACTGTGTGGCTCACCTTAGGGAGTGAGCGTCACCACCCATGATTGGGTACAACAAGACACAAGACCACATTTGGAAACACGAAAGACTTGGACCCTAGCCTACATATGCCATCATATGCCTACATGTTGAAGGGCCATGCTGAAGATATCCGAGGCGGTGCTGAAGACCCAAGCGGCCATGCTGAACAAGGCTGGTCAAGTGGAGGCACGGAGCATCACGGAGCTGTTCAGTGACTCAATGAAGCTGTCGCCACATATACCGCGGGGAATGGCCCTTCCGATTGGCTTCCCTGACCCTTCTTTGGGTCTAGAGAGACGATTCTTACTCCAAATTGCATCAAAGTAACAGAAGGTTGTTGCATGCTTTTTGTTTTTTTCTTCAAATCAAGGCAGCTGGCAAGATTAACCAGCGCCTGGATCCCAACAAAGCAGAGGCCTCGGCCAAGTCAGGTGCACATCACAGCACTGAGCAGTAGCACTCATTCTATACTATTAATATGGATTCTAGTGTGGATTCTAGATGTCCGCTCCAGAAGTGGCGTATTTTGTCGTATGTGGAGGCTGTGCAGGATGTCAAATTACGTTTGGAAACCTCGCCAGCACGGAACGCCTAGGTGGATTGGGCAGAGCGCCGTGCCAAGAGGATGGATGGGCCTGTGGGCTTCCAACCAGAGTCTTGAGCATCTAGGCGGAATTGATTCACTGCGACTGCCCGAAAGCATCTCACAAGTGAGTTGAAAGGTCTCACATAGCCCCATAATTATATAAATATATACAGTACTTTGCTATGGTGACCTGCGGCAACCGCGTCCGTTGGCCAAGTTTCATCAAAAATCTTTGTTGTTGCTCGGCGCCGAGGCCAGTCGGCTGGAGCCGAAGGTAGTGCAGATGCCATCAAAAAAGCTTGGACACGAGCCACAATGTATGAACTTCCATTGCTTGCGCTGCCCAGCCAACCGGGCACTCCAAGAGGCCTGCAGTGGGACTTGTAATCACTGCCACTCATGAAAATGGAGTCGACACCTGAACAAGGTCTTGAAATGTTGCCCCTAGACTGGAGGCCATTCTTCACCATTCTTCTAGTTCAATGTGATTTGTGAGTGGGGAGGGTGCCCCTTAAACGTTCCTTGCAGCCATTGGCTCCGTAGCATGGTCCTTGAAAAAGAGGCAGCACCAAGGCGCCAAGTACTTTGCATGACACCATGGAAAACAAGAGCAGGCATGCAGCGAGTGGCAATGTGAATATGCAACCAGAGCAGGTGAACACACCATGGATCAGGAGGAATGGTGCTCTCAGATCACTCAGGCTCATGTGCGAATTGTATAAAGGCATGAGAATGCGAGCCGCTGACTGCCCCGTTTATCACGAAACTCGTGGTTGGGCAGGAGTCGATCAGTGATGTCAGCACCACAGACCACGGTCTTTCTACAACTTCTTTGGAGGCCAGCAGGTTCGAGAGACTTGCCGCAAAGCTTCTTTATTTAACCTTATTTTGCCCGCCCTTAATTAGGTAGAGGCTACCTATATACTTAATTATATAAGTAAGGGAGAAGTTCGCTACTAGTTACTTAAGCTACTACACATGGACGCAGGATTGCTCACGCTTCTTCAAGGGAGCACCCCCGTCTGAGGGTGGGGGGAGCTTCCTTGAAAAGCGCTCTCACTAATGGTTTGGTTCCTAGATGTGTAGGAAAACTTAGGATGTGCTTGTGTGAACTCGTCCGTAAATGGCATCTAGGTGCAGTCCAGCTACATTAAGGCATCAACTGCGTTACATGTTGCATCATACTTCCGCAGGATTTACTGCATCTTGTCGGGATGATTGGACGTGTTTGAGTATGAGAGCATCATGGACTCATGTGAGTCTAGCTTGCGCACGATTCGCGCAGAACACCCTTTAAGCACCCTGTAAAGAAGAAGCATCCCTTACATCAAAATTTGTTGGTCTTGAACATGTCTTCCAAGGCTGTGCTTTGCTGCGTTCCCTATCCAAGCATCCAATGCAAATAGCAAAGGATACATATCAGAGCAGTGCCCCATGGTGTTCTACAATACTGTAAATATCCTGAATGATTCTTCCTAAGCAGTGCCGCAGCTTTGTGAAAAAATGACAAGACAATCAATATTTGCCCGGCCTCGGTGTCCACACAGTTTTCTTGGAATATCTTGGAATTCAAGCACCTCTCATGACCCCAGCGAATGGTGTCTCCTTTGTGTTTTTGCTAAGATTTGAGTGACTTCTCGCGGACATGGGTGGCTTTACACAATTCTGGTGTCCTGATGGGGTCTGAGTGTCTCTACGAAGGCATAAGTGACTTAACAACACCACCAAGTAGCACCTAGCACTGTGAGCCCTTGTTAAACAGGTGCCAAGCTTGAATTGAAAGATCCCAAAGACCTCGGACAAGAACTGCTCACGCGTGCGCAAACGATGTTAGGTGAGCATTGCTGACTGTGAAGTCAACAGCGGCAGCTGCATCAGAGCAGCCCAACGCGCCAGTTCGGAGCAAGACTCAAGACATAGATCAGCGTACACTACACTTACTTCCAGGCCCATACACTTCGCCCAGTCAAGCATAGGCTCACAAATCATGAGGCAAGCTGGGCTAGTGCTGCGTCATTCACCAATGGTGTGGCAGGACGAACCTAAATCATAATTGATTCCGGCAAATTGCGCCAAAGCCAGATCCTCAGACAGTCATAGGCAAGTTCAGCCATTCACACAAGGGCCCCACACGGCGCAAGGGGGAGGCTTTGCACCATTCATTCATTCATTCATTCATTCACCTTGTGCTCAATGTCAAGAACACTGCGCAGCGCAGCACCGCTGTTGGATACTGACCCCTGCTCAGTCTTTCTCTGAGGGTAGAAAGCACGGCCCTCATTGCCAGAACTGCCACACTACGCCAGACGCCCCTCTTACAAGTTGAACTCAGTAGCAAAGTAGAGGGCAGGACCTGTGTTCACTGCAACTGGTCCAGTATCTCGCTCCAAACCTGAACGTGGAGCTGTGCCGAGCTTTTCTTGGCTGCCGATCTTGGTGAGAAGTCCCAACATGATGTCGAGTCAATGTCACAAAGGCAATGAGAATGACTTAGAAATGCGTCCTTGAAACGACATCACAACAGCTTCCGCCGTCATGTGGGCAGCAGTGTGCCCTATGCATCCTGCACTTGTGCTTGCCCAGCAGGAAATCGACAGTTCGGAAGCTTCCTTGCCAGTTCCAGGAGTGGGTCCAAAAACCAGCAGAAATATGCTAAAATATGATGTTATCAGTTGGGAAAGGTGTAAGTTTTGTCAAAATGCCCTGAGTCCTTCAACTAACGTGCTTTGACGCTTGAAAGGAGATGTTCCCCGACCCCGGCCAGTGCTGCTTCGGTGCCTTCATTTTGTCATAGCCCGAGAGTTGATCTTATCTTGAAGCATTTTCCGCGTGAAGATTCCACAAGGTGTCAGCCGGGCACAACACAAGCGATCCAGCGAAGTTTACACATGTCGTAGCTAAGTATGCCACCACAAGCAGAAGAGCTTTGGCGAGTTTAACATGCACACACAATCAACATAATCAGACAGAGACGGCCAAGTCAAGGCCATTTACTACAGCTGCATAATCATCACCGCCTTGGCTGCCTGGTTTCCACAAAGGGTTGCCAGGTCTTGTCCTGCTGGATCTGTGATTTCTGAACGTGCATTTACTTTCACGGCACTTTGGTTAGTTAATGTTTGTTTGAAGTGACCTAGGTGCTAACGTTCCGACGCATCTTGGCCATTTTTGTTGATGGGAAGCCAGCCACACAAAAACTCAGCAGGCCGCCCTGGACAAGGGATAGACAGATGTCAGAGGCAACAACTCCAAAGAGGCTTCTTTGACCTCACTGTGCAGGCCAAAAGCCAAGCTATCCTGGGCCCAGCTGGCTGGAGCAAAAGATCCTGCACGCCTTGCACGTGAGGCATTTATCCTGAGCGTACCTGTCATCAGTTGCAGGGAGTCAGTCAGCTTCGGTCACATGTCACATGTGGAGACTTGGAGGTGATGCCGGAGCCGCCTCCCTTCCCAGTGCCCACGGACGAGTTCACCATAACTTTTGGGCCGTGTGCTAACCTGATGATCTACACAGGCAATGAATCGATTAGGGAAAGCTGCTCCACAGTGAGTGACGCGTTGGTTCAACTGGTGATGAGTGATGTGATGTCACCTGGTGAGAATTGTCACTGAGACCTTAGCAACCACCATATTTGGCATCGTTCTCCTTTCAAGAGGCATTGAAGGATAGTGGTGGGAGGTGCTCCGTGCATTTTGCGGTGAACGCTGGTTTCATCACCCCCCCCTCCAGGTACAACATCAGTGTACAACATCGGGTCCTTTCATGTGCAATGGGACCATAGCAGTGATGGCGGTGTGAAATGTTGGAACACTTGCTCCAAAATACCAGAGTCTGACATTTGACTGGGAAGTGCGGTCATTTGCGGGAATTTGCTTTTTGTTTCGCCAATGAGTCCTTGCATCAACAACTCAAAATGGTCGCCAAACCACTCGCACCCTGCAGACACGGGTGGGGTGAAATATGTGTCTTAAGTCCTAAGACAACTTCGACACCAACATCATGACTAGTGTCACTGTAGGACCCCACAGATGAGGGTTGAGGCTCTCGTTTCTTTTTTTGTCGGTTCTTTCTGTCGGGAGGCGGCGTTGCCTGTTGCTTGCAGCGGTGTCCCAACTTTGCAGAGGTCAAGTCGAAACTGCGCATCTTGCAAAGCAGAGAGTCATTTGGAATCGGGGTTATTTGCTGTATCCTTACCGTATCCTCCTCAATGGTTCAAGTCAAAAGGTAACAATATTGAGCCAGTTTTTTTGAGCCTGAGGATTTCATGGGGTCTCCAGCGGCGCCTTCATAGCTGCCACCATGGCTGCTGATGTTGAACTTCTTGAAATGCTGCCAGACACTTGGATTGCAATCTCGCAAGGCTTGAGGGGCATAGAAAGCAGGACAACAAAATCATTTTCATAAGGAGCCTTAGGCTACTCAAGGATGTGCTAAGCAAAAGCGGCCCCAAATCAAGCTTCCCCATCTCATGCCTCGTATATATTATGGTCCTTCGTTTCGTAGGTAAAAACGAGCTTGCCGTTTATTTCATTGCAGTGTTCTGGCTCAACGGATGTTGTTGAGTCACGACCCGTCGCAGTGTACGTGCTCGTGCTGCCGGGTCTTCTCGAGGCTTTTAGGGGTTCTCTTTGGAGAGAGATTCCAGCCTACTCTGAGGGAGGCGGTTACTCCTATCTTAGAGCAGGCCTACACAGCGGTCCTCGAGCGTGCGTTGGGCTTCATCCCGGGGGGTATGACCACCGCGGGAGCGTCCTTACAGAGAAAGAGGAAGAGAGAAGAAGCAGAAGCCCATAGATGAAGCCCCAAGCCCAGAAGAAAAAGCTAAGGACTCCTGGCAAGACCAAAGAGATCGCGGAGCAGATCCAGGAGGAGGGAAGACAAAAGGAAGAAAAAGACTCCTAGGCTTTCCTCGGGGCGCAGCGAAGGGTCAGGCGAGGTGAGACAGAAGGGGCGTCGAGTGCACCGTCAAGGCCACGGTTGCCTCCCGGGCCGCCATCTGGGTATAGATCGGGCTGGACTAGACCCATCCTGGCCCACAAGAATAGACCAAGAAAGAAGAAGTCAAAAGGAGTCT